CTGTATGCTCGGGTTCCACTGGTGCATCTCCTCCACTCTGGTGAACAGGAGGTCATAGAGTTCGTCCACACCAGCCTCCAGCACTGCCTCCAGCCTGAAGACCTTCCTGGCCCCTGGCATTACTTTGCTGCAGATCACATCCCCGTTGCTCTAGACAGATCAACACACAGGTCATAGGGACATAAAAGGTGCAATTGTAATAAAATTGACACTTTGGTCCAGAGCAGCTGAAGACACATCTTTGAGATCAGACATTACCTCTCTGATCTCCACTTTCCACCCGTCTTTGTCCTCCAACATACAGAGAGCCTTCCTCATTGCTCCTCGGCCTTGTTGCACATAGAACAGCTGATCGTCTTTTGCTGGCGCATCTTCTCTCTTGGACTCTGCGAAATGTACTGCAGTTAAAGCCTCTTTCCAAGAGCCACACACAGAATGATATACAAACGTGCTGCGCTGCCCAACTCATGTTATTTCTTTCACTCTCCACAATCCTCACTAATACACAACCTCCCAATTTGGCAGTCTGTCTGAGCTGCAAACTTTTCCCATATCTCCCTTTGCTTGCCCCCCCCCCCTCTACTGCTGCATCCACCTGTAGGCTCCAACAGGGGAGTTATAAATAGTTGTTCATCACTCCAAGCATATTTACATAATCATATCTGGGGGAGGTGATGAAGTCGGAGCCTAGAAGCCTAAACGCTACGTCCAGCAACAATAAACATGTCTAACATGAGTTGTATATTTACCATTATAATTTAAACCAGCATGTGTTCTCATGCGTGGTTGCATTTGTCCCCACCGCTGCAGGTGTGCGATCTCCTGGCCTATCACTGCCATCGCTGTGCGTTGAAGTCCTGCAAGATTGAGAAGAGATTCATAGGGGTTTAAAAAAAAAAAGGAGGAGTAACGGTGCTGCCTTTGCATTGGAATTCCTGTAAGATAACAGTGTTTACCTGCTGTACTCCTCAGGTGTGGGTAGGAGATTCCACAGCAGAGCTTCACGACAGCAGGCAGCATGCTGGCTGTCTCCGGCAGTGACAGCAAAGTAAGAGAGCGACTGTGAACTTTATAGGGCCCGTGAAGGACGCTCCATAGAGATAAGGGCCAGAGAAGAAGATAGGAAGGGTTCTGAATTCTGTTTTGAAGGACGCACAAGAGATTTGGTAACTAAAGCACAACACTGGATGCAAAGACACGGGGGAACTCAGGAGTGTGCAAGGTTTGTGTGAGTGCTAGACTAGACTTTGCAATTTCAAGAGACTTTCAAATCAAACTGTTATTTCGGACATATAATGACAGAAACAACATGGAGCTGGTTGTACAAAGTGAAACCAACATGACTGAACCATCTGTCCTCATTATACTTCAATGATTAATAATATTCTAGCTTCCATGCAGAGAGATACTTGAGATGAGAGTAATTAATAATTTCAGTGCGCACTGTAAGAAATATATGAGATGTGTTCGCAGAAGAACGAATAATCTAAATAAGTAAAGAGAGAACTAAACAAGCTCAGTTCACTGCAGTGGCATCTCATACTTTATTGAGAAAAGAAAATGTGTTTTGAATCTTGGATCCTGTAGAACTTGTTGGGGGGATATATATAACACATACTTAGTTCAAACAAACTGCAATGCAGTTTAATAGAAGACTTACAAACCCAAGCCAGATCTTTTCTGGACTGCACCTCGGCAACAATAAACTGAATGATAATATATTATATATCTATCTTTTTTTTCTTTTTTTTTGCTCACAAACAAACCAACAAAAGGACCAGGGTGAAAACCTGTGTGTTGGAGTGGTTCTCATGATGTGAAGAGTTATTTTACCTCAAAGGTGAAACAAGAGTGTATTTAACAGCTATATCTCCACTTATGATTGTGCATTCTGTGGTTGCTGCATTATGTCTATATATATATATATATATATATATATATATATATATATATATAAGTTCCTTCTGGAGAAATCATAGTAAAATGTATGGAATTCCAGTTGTCTATGATAAGAGAAAGTAAAGGCTAAGCACAAGACCGATGGCATCACGGTGGTAAGTAGGGTTAAATCAATATGAATAATTCATGAAAGAGCTTGGCTCACTAATCATGTGCACAGCTTCGGCTTTCCACAAAACCTCCAGAGAAAAATGTACCTCCTTCACAGAGGAAATGCCTAAAATAACCAGGATGTAAAATACAGTTCATTAATGAAATCTCACTTGTACAGTTCATTATGTATAATCATCATCATAACACCCTCTGACCTTCTAAACGATATTGAGGTTTTACATGATGGAGAAACTGCTCTCCAGTTGATTGGCTCTGCTCTGCGATTCCCATGAGCAAAGGTTATCTGCACATTATATGCCAGATATCAAAAAGGCTGTAGAATCCTGAAGGACATACAGGCAGCATAGGTCGCTGTATGTGTCTGCAGGTTTGACACAGGGAAAATAAGAAGGTGGTCATGGGGGGATGGGATGTTAAGCCTCTGACCCTGCATATCATTTGAATTCCCAGGATTCAATATCCTCGTCTTCCCTCCCTCACTCATTAGGTGAAGATGTTACGCACGGGTCTGTGTGGATTTCGATCCCAGTAACCCACCGCTGAACCTAACTCCCTCTGCAGGATGTTGAAGCCCCTCTGCAGCCTGACTTGAAAAACGTTTCTACTTTTAAGTGTAATGTTTCATTTTGGAAACGCTCCATCCTTCTCTCCTCTTATAAGGGTTAAATTAGTGTGTGTGTGTGTAATATCTGTAAAATACTTGGAGGGCCCAGTGCCTCCCTCTCCCCTAAATGCTGCCTTGCAGGAACGTCTCACTGATAGAGCCCTTAGGAAACAGCTGCCTCTTATCACCCGGAGCCAACAGGTGTCCTTGTGGGAAGGATTCATGACGTGAATGCTGAACTTCACCTGGAGCAGGCCAGCTGACCTCTGAATATCAGGGAGGTGCCTGTGGCCTCTGAAACAGCAAGGATGCACAATAAAGAGGCTTATTCCATGATTCATTATAAATTGCGTACTGAGCAAAACTCCGGCTTTGCGTGGCACCAAAAGCAAAATGCATTTATCAATACGGTGCTGGTCAAGCGCAACTGTGGCTCGAGAGATTCGGCAAAGGCAAATTGGCCAAATGAAATGTGTGGCATGAAAAGAAAACCTTCTCAATGTGACAACAACATATAATCTGCCGCACACATGTCAAAAGGAGCCCTTTTTTTAATTCATGTTTTTGTCTCTGTATTGACGTGGGCATGGCTCTGTTGACAAATATTATATCAGGTATTGGCATGTGTGTTTGCTCATATTGCATTTGTCACATCACTGTCATTCTAACCTGATGAAACCCACCTGCACACTCCATATGAGGCAGATTAGTGAACCACCTCAGGGCTGAGAACTACAGAGACCAAACATGGGAACTTACCATGGCACTGATGTGGAGCGCGAACTAGACTAAACAGTCTCCGTAAATTCAATCAAGCTGCTCCAACTTTGAACACTCCCCTAAATATGCCTGATCTTTTTCATCAAAATCCACGAATTATACCCTGTGAAAATATAGAAAAACACAAGGTCAAAAAGAGTGGGGAAAAGAATCCTTTATTCTCTGACACATATCACATCCTTTCGGGAAGTTTGGTGATAATTCGTCGAGTAGATTTTGTGTTATCTTGCTCGCAAACAAACCAACAAAAAAACAAACGCAGAGGGGTGAAAACCTCCGGTGGAGTGGTTCTCGTGATGTGAAGTTGTTGTGGTTCAACCCCCCCATGTTCATTCTTTAAATATTCATCAGTTTACATCACTCTAAAGCTGAAAGTCATTTGCACTTTAAGCTCAAACAATCTGAACAGCTCTCTCTATGATTTGTTGTGTTTGTGTGAGTCATGAACTTGAAGTTCAAAGTTTTTTTTCTCATCACAGTCGGCAAAGTGTTTGCTCATTGTAGAAACAGTTCTCTATAATTATGTAAGGTCTCGACCTCACTGTGTGAAGTGCCCTCAGATAATGGATGTTGTGTTTTCGGAGCGACTCAAAATACAGTTGAATTGAACTATTTTTTGTTTCCTTTTACTTTCCCTACAGCAAGTTGCCTTCGGAAGTTGTGTTGCATTGTATTATGTTATTGTATTATGTTATGTTGTATTGTGTTGTATTGTATCATGTTGTGTTTTATTATAATGTGTTGTGTTGTATGGTGTTGTATTGTGTTGTAAGGTACTGTGTTGTGTTGTATTATGTTGAGTTGAATCGTATGGTGTTGTGTTGTATTCACACACAATGGCTTTACTTACACTGCTGTTGCAGTTGAGACATTTTTTTTTATCTCCTCAGTTTCCCACTGTGGAAGCCTTCACTTCTCCTATACAACACTTCCTATATGGTGCTTTAGGTAACGTGTATTCAGTAAGAGGCACTCAGGGCCAAGCTGCCCAGTTGCTATGGCTAACCTATCAGCCCCATTAGCGTTCAAACTGCATGACACACGTGTGTGTGTGTGTGTGTGTGTGTGTGTGTGTGTGTGTGTGTGTTATTAAATTCTTTGATGCAACGTTCAAATCTCGCCCATTAAGTGGGATTGTTTAAACACTTTCTTTTTCCTTTGACTGATGTTTGTGCTCATTTTTCCAGTAAGTTTATTTTAAGTAGTTATTTGATGCTTTAAAACGAAGTGAAATGTCATGATTGACAGCTAAGACTGACTCAGGAGTGGTCGATCAGTGGGACCCTGATCACTATTAAATAGACTCTGGCTTTAAATGTGCAAAATGTCAATGTTTGTATCCAGGATATTTTGGCTTCATTTCTAGATAGTGGGAGGAAGAGGAGAAGCTGCGTCCATCTTTATATACTGTATATAACGCACTTTTCCCCTGTTTACGGAATTTTTAGTTTATTATGTTATTAAGTGCATAAAATATGTTTCAAAGTTTTTATTTCTCCTCAAACTGAAGATTACATTTCTTAAACTAATCTTGCTGCTTGTCTCAATTTCAAAACACCAGCTGGTATACAACCACACACCCACAGCACATCACAACACCATGGATGTAAAAATGAATTGAAAGTTAAAACTGATCCCTCTCATCTATTTCTCTATGAAGCAATCACACTGAAGGAAACCTTTGATGTCGTGAGAGCAATAGAGACGCAAAGCAGCCATTTTCCATGGTAAGGAAACAATGATGGAGTTGCGATGAAAAGCGGGTGACAACTAATCACTCTCTGTGCGCTGAAGTGGACGATCTTGAAGATGAGTCTGAGCTCCTGCGTGGACTTCAAGCACCTCTGCACCTCCGATCCTCACTAAAAAACAAAACCCTCAAGTCATACACACACAATGACAGTAACGTGGTCAATTCTGAACATTTGCAGAGAAGATAATCATTCTCATACTTAATGGTTTTCCACGACATCCTATTTTTGCAATACAATAAAGAAAACTGCTGTACAAGGACACTTTAAAACGTCACTACTTTAGTAGCGGTATCATTGTGAAATTGTTAATTACACTTGATAACAGTTTTTCCTGCATGAATGAAAAGATGATCTCCTGTTGGTTTATTAAAGGTTCCCAGACACAGAAGAAAGAAAACTTTCAGCCTTTGTCAATTAAAGCTATGGAACACTTAATTGCACAATCTGTTGGCGAGGGACAAGATTTTGGGGCCTGATGCTTCTTCTGGTTTCCATTAGGAGTTTGACCTATCAGATTTGAGCAGGATGTGGTTGTCCAGGTGGAGGGCCAAAGCAATAGTGATAGAATTTAGGCAAAATGCTATCTGGATCAAAAACCAACAAAAGGTATTGCTGTGTGTGGTGAGTCTTTGCACGGATATCCACTGTCTAAACTGAAGGACTCAAAATAAAATGATAAAAGAAAACTAATTAGACATAGTTGAATGCACTTATTGTAAGTCGCTTTAGATAAAAGCATCAGCTAAATGAAATGTAAAATATCAGCTGTGGCTCCCAGAGGCGTCACACGATCTCCGATATTGTAGACCACAGGGAAACCAGCTCGCTAATTATTTATAAAAGAAAAATCAAACCTCATATTTTCTCTTGAGCCTTTAAATACCTCTGCTGATATAGGCTCACGGACAGAGCATTGAGGAAAGCAGAATGATATTTCTTTACCTGGATTGTCCTCACTAAAGGTTCGATTCGTTCTAGGTGAGCTGTGGAGGCAAAAAGAAATTCTTAGACACACCAACCTTGAAAAACACAAGTAGGATATAAAAAAGTGAGAGATCACCCTGACCAGGTTTTTTGCGGTTTTCTCCACGGCTGCTCAAACTTTCCATCATGTACAGATGGTGATGCACCAGGAGGAAAAGCCTGGAGGCTCAGCTGGTGATGGCCTGAGTGGTCAAAGCCGTCCAGAGCTTGTTTGATCATCCCCATCACCAGGTCTTTCTCTGAGGGTGCACACATCACGTCATCACACATCACATGGCACCAGAGGAGTTCAACGATTCCTATCATTCATTCACCACTGAAAAAGCAGGAACTGAAACAGAATTAACAACTGAGACTGATAATTAATAATTTTACGCCAGCAGAATTTAAATGTATTTAAAAATGTATTTCAACAATGTCATTATTTCTGAAGTCAATTGCAAGTTAACATCCTTTAATCCACTTTCGGACAAAAGTGTAATAATATTTGTTGCACTATATATATATATGTATGTTTATTTATTAGAAGCTCAGAATGCACCAATAAGTTCATGTAGGCAGGGAGTGAATTTTGGAAAATATAGTTGGCTAAATTTGAAGCTTTAACATATGGACAAAATCTCTGCATTAAAAACAGCAATATTCAATACAACTTTCTAAAAATACTGTTTCTTTCAAATTGATTGTGTTGTTTGAGGTGAGAACTGATCAGTTTATCATAAGCTGCCAGTTTTATGCCGAAATGAATGCTGTTAAATGTAAAATGTTTACACGCTGACAACATCTTTCTCCTTTGGTGAAATAAAGTGTTTTACCTCTTTGTCCTGAGAGCAGAAGCCACTGCTGAACTGCGGACAGAGAGTCTGTTTGCAGGATCTGACAAAGTAGCTCCAACACCTGACAAGAGAGCAGACGACAGGAAGTTACAGACCATGTGAATTTATATTATATTCACGCTATCAATCAACTTCAAGATGCCTGGTGACAGTAAAGCTGGTGGGTATTTTTCAACAATAATGGGAATGCAGTGTAGCCTTGGGCAAAAGCCTGAGTGCTCTGCAGAATTTCTGTCACGTAGGAAATCTCCTATTGATCTGCCTCTAATCCTCCCTCTCTATTTGGAAATATTACATGGCTGTGCCTCATTTCAATCTCAAACGACACTGTGAGAAAGACGGTGGAGGAGCTCAAGAGCAGTGGAGGAGAATTTCACCATGATTTCTTGATCATGGAAGGGCTGAGGATAAAGCAGGCGCTGGGAATGAGATCTGCGCTGGTAAGACTTTGTGGGTGGAGGGATGATTCTCCCAGTTTCAGCCGAATATTGGGTCGTCCGACGGACAAATTCTTCTTCTGGTTGCTCCTAGAATGAATTGACAAAATCATGATCTTACACAATATATACAACCCTCATATATACAGTATTTCAATAATAAACTTCAATTTATACTTGAATAATGATGACAATAAGAAATACCTGAAATAACAGAAACCATCATTGAGAAAGTAAATTTAACTTGTACTTTGTCTATTTAGTTTGGTTCATGTCCCATCCACTATCATGGAGCAGAAAGGGTTTGTGACCTATATTGCAGCCAGCCACCGGGAGGCGATGTAGATGATTTGGCAGTTTGGGGCAGCCATCATGTCGTCCATCTTTAAATACAGTCTATGGCTGATTCTTAGAAGGAAAGTTTACCCCATTATTCTCAATTCCTTAAATTCATATATCTCAAGGAGGCACTGAAAGGATCACAAGTAAATTGGACCTGAATCTGTGCCTCACAATCAGATCTTAATCCTGATGATCCTGATGATCTACTCAATTCCAATTAGAACCTAAAACCTTTCACTGGTCGACCTTGTTGTGGGTTCATACGCAACCTTAAAAGAAGCGCAAACTCTGAGACTTAATCTGAGGCAAAAAACAAACAAACAGATTCCAACAATCAAACCAAAGCACGCACCTGTCTTTTGTCCCTTTGTGCATGAGAAGACAAACTGACTTTTGCAGCGAGCTCTTTGAGTTCATCCCTCCAGGCCTCTGAAAACAAGGCTGTGAATAGAAAGAGAATGTTGCCTCTTCATTCTTAATAAATAATTCTCATAATTTGATAAGAGTTTTGGAGTGGTACATGTAATCACACCTGATTTGTTTTTGTTATTAGCGACTCCATTTAGAGTCTGAGCAAGTGGGAAATCAAAAGACGTGTCGGCCGCTTTCCTGAGGATGTGGCTCTTGAGAAGTGGATGAGGAAATAATGATGAGGTGACAAACCAATCGTCTCTCACTGTGCAGACGGGTCTCCCATTGAGTCCTGCGAACACGAGAGAAGCACATTATTCGCAGTTCACTTACACGAGCTTCAAGAGAGTGACGACAATCAAAGTCATGCCCTGGAGGATCAAGGCCAGAAAACCCCTGCTGAGACTAAAGCTGATAACTTTATGAGAAAGGGGGGGTGAGACCTACTTTTCTGTAAATAATTCAATTGTGTCTTTCATGTAGCATATTGCTATTCTAGGTGCCAACAGCCGCTCGTGAAATATTTCATATGACTGATCTCAGGCGAGGAGGCTTCCACAGCAATTTCAGAGAAATTACCTTGTTAATGGCTTTATTATTTAGAGCAAATGTTTCTGAGTGAATTTTTGACCCTAACCCCAAGACCAAAAAACATTTCCTGAGCATGTTAATTTAGAAACCGCAATTTTAGCTCTTTTGGTCTGCTGCAGCTGCCAAGAGAAATCGTTGCCTCTTTCTTCACCAGCTATTCGCTAATTGGTCTGTCTGCCATTTGGTGCAGGTTTTATCAATTGACTCTTTCAACAACAGATGAAAATAACGTTGTGGAACAGACTGCCGCTAGATATCAGAGAAGCTTGTTCAGTGAAAGTCTTTATAGGAAAAACTTAAAACATTTCTCTGTACTTTAGCCTTTAACTAGATCTTGTTTGCATTTCATCTATGTATAGACTCCATGGGCTTAACCAATGAAAACTAAGTAAATTAATTGATTCTTTACTTTAATTTAGCATCACTATCAGGTCCAATATTTTTGTATTTTGGTAATATTTTGGTTTTACACAATGTTGCACATAATTCATCATTAATGCACGATATAATAGATGTAAATACTCCATCCAATAGTGAAATGATACCAGACTGAAAGTTCACACTTCAGTTCTGGTGTTCCGATAAAATGTAATCTATCTTGATAATGAGATACGTAAATTGGAACCTCATTGAGTCCTCAGGGTGTTTCTGGTTTACTGAGGCCAAATACTCAGGGAAATCAAACTTTATACTGACACCTGCACTGCAACACGACAAATATTTTTTAGGTAATTTAGGGACACATGTGGCAATGATTGATTCAACTATCAAATCATTTTGCTGTAAAATAAAATAAATTTCATAAAGTATAAGATTTTTTTCTGCTACAAAGAGAGGATCCCCCTGCTACTGCTCCCTGCTCACCTTGGATATGCCTCACCCTGTGTGGATGAGGGTTGTGCCGTGAGAAGAATGAGTGATGACTCAAAGCACCGAAGCGTGGACTGCTCCTTGTCAGCGTCTTGATGAATTCAGTGGTGAATGGCACCTGAGTAGACTGACTGCTCTGTCCTGTTGTTCCTCGGGAGTTTGAACTTTGCACGATGGACATATTTCCGAATGGTGGTTGGAGGGTTTTGATTAAATCTAAAGCATTAAGAGAAAAGTCTAAAAATGAATGTACTTCATGAAGTGATGTGTTGGAAATACAGAAGGTTTGATGTACGAGGCTGTTACTGTGACCACTCAAGACACAGACGACTAAAGTTTGAGGAAGCCAACGAGTCCAAGCATTAACTTCACTTCACTTCAAAAACATAATTCTTGTGTTCCACAGGAAATATACACAGAAAAATTCAAAAGTGGAGAAAAAATAACTTTGAGAAACCACTTTACCTCTGAATGCTGCTTCCAGCTGAAATCCTTGGGTGCTTAATGTTCTGTGTTGCCTCCGTTTCTAAGAGACTGTAACCAAACAAAAAAACCTATTGTTATTTTTCACAGCGAGTGAATGGTGTCTCTGAACCGATTCATTTAGGGGAGATTTTCACAGGCATGGTATAATTTCACCAATTCATGGTGTTGAATTAAAAAACTAAAGCAATTTGCTGTTGACAAGCTTAAACTGAGGTGGAGTAAATGATCTTTCCTGCCTTGCTGACGTCTGACAGGCCAGATGATGCACAGTCTCTCTTCATAACCTCCCTGTGAATAACTTACCCTCCACTTTACCCCCACATAAGGGGGTTTGAGGACAAACATGGCACACGAAACTCTGCAGATGCACAGACCCTCATCACAGAATCTGCCTTGGAAGTGTGAGTGCCACAGACTTGCTCCAGATGGCCTCCTCCTGTGCAGAGCTTCATTGTTGTGCCGCTGCTCCCTCTTCATCACCCTCGCTGCAGCATTATACAGAGGCATTGCAAGACCTCATCAGCAGCTGCATTTGTTGGATGTAGGGTCAACATGCTGCCACCTCAGAGACGTCTAAATTGTGTCCTGATGGTAAAAATCTAGAAAAATTAAACATGGATTTTTGCGGAATTATCAATTTCCTGTCTCTCCTGTGAAGCTCACTGCTGTCCAGAGGGGGTGTGTCTGTGTTTTGGTTGTTGCGGGAAGTTGTGTCGTCAAGTGAGTGATACTGCTTCATGATTCCCTAGCGACACATTCAAACAGATGCTCTGTGGAAGGAAACCAAATACATGGAAAAATGAAGAGGCTTAATAAACACAAAACAATGTAATTTTATCAACAAGACGGAGACTGAATTTCCTGTTTTTTCTTTGATTTTAATTGCATACATTTACCATTACGTGATCTTTTTAAACTTAATTATTCCCCTTTAAATTTAYTCTGYTTTACTTTATTTGTCTTTTTTATATGATCATTATATATAATATATGTCCTATAGCTTGGAGGGGTCCAAAGCTACATTTCATTGCATAAGCTTGTTTTTATATAATGTAAGATATAAGATGAGGTATTTCTATGCTTCAAAGCAAATCATAACCATTGAAATTATGATATATTTGCAATCTGACTCTATTTATATCAAAACTGATAATTTCTCTTTTAATGACGCAAATAACATGTACGCTCAGCTTAGTTGGATTGTAGCCTTCATCACTTAAGTTCATTTTCTATGGATACTAGACAAAGATGAGATTTGATCTATTTTGAATTCAGTCTGGGAAGAAATGAGCAGTAGTGCAATAGAAAATGATGGTGAATATGTTTGTTTTCTATTTGGCTATGGTTGTTTGTCCTTGTTAATTAACTTCAGAGGGCGAAATTTTACTTTTACACTTTGAGTGCATTTCAGAGCTTGTCCTTTTATACTTTCACTTGAGTTAAGAGGTTGAACCAGTACTTGTACTTTTCCTTGAGTCGTTTTTTAAAGGTCCATGAACAGCCACAATCCAAGGAGTAATTGATCACAGTGAGATATGTACATCACACCCTCAACTTGTGTCCCAAAGGTTTCTATATCTATAATAAAAAAGCGATTGCAAATGTTATTAATTCTGAAGTGGCTTTTAAAACCAGTGGCAAAAGGACAGAGAAGGAGAGGCTCCATCATTACACACTTGTTTTGTTGGCATGACATACATACAGGCTGTGTAATATCAGTCTCCTGGAACATCCTGAGGTGTTACCAGGTTAGATGAGACACTTATATATTGTCTACAGCTTGTTGTGGACGCCCAAACCACCTCTATTGGCTCCATTCCAGGTGAAGGAGCAGCAGCAACATTCCGAGCTCCCTCCAGCAGTCAGATGTCTGTCCCTACAAGGCTGAGCCCAGCCACTCTGCGGAGGAAACCCATTTCACGCACTTGCATCCAGAATTTCATTCTTTCAGTCAAGATTTTGAGCATAGACGAGGGTCCGAACATAGATCTCCCGGTCAGTCGAAAGCTTTGCCTTCCAGTTCAGCCCCCTCTTCATCACAATGACCTGGTAAAACATCTGCTTTACTGTGGAAATTGATCTGCCTTTCAATCTCCAGCTCTTCTCCAGCCTCCTAACGTTGAGATAATTAAACTCCTTCACACGTATAATTTGAAAGATTTGAGCGAAACACGACTGCCTCTGTGGGCCTGTCCTCTGTTTTATTATATGAATCAAGGTGATAAAAACAACGGAGAACCCTCATGATTGGTGCAGCACATGTATCAATATGAATGATATTTGTTCTGTCAGAAGTGACAGCTGACTTTATTATAGGACCAGGCTTTGAGGTCCCCATGGCCTAAACCTAACCTTTACCTAAACCTGACCATAAAACATGTTATCACCTTAAAATGTGCTTTTTGTCTCCATAAGATAGACATGTTCCCATAACGTGACTGTGTGAGCAGATTTAAAACCCTACCACACGAGTAATACCAGGACCACACACACTCACACACCTTCTGTGTACTTGTATCTCAGTGAGGACACTGACATAATGTATTCTTTAGACCCTACCACAACCTTAATCATCACAGCTAAAAACGGATTAGGGCCAGCTTTGTCTGGCCAGATACCCCCTTGACCCCCTGCAGGACCTCCATCAGCTACAGACTGATTTATCCGAAGCATCTTTTTATGACACTGTGGTGGCTTCCGCAGTGTTCCACACCATTTTCTGCTCGAGGTGTGGATGCACTGAGAGGGACAGGAAAAGACTCAATAAAGTGGTTAGGAGAGCCAGCTAGGTCTTGGCGCTTTTGATTTCACTGAGGAGGTATGTGAGAGGAGGATGCTAACAAGGCTGAATTCAATCATGGACAACACCTCTCATCCCCTGCACTGTAGGCGCTTAGCGGCTCTTTCAGCAGAAGACTGCTCCACAGACAGTGCAAGAAGAAATGCTCCCACAGGTCCTTCATTCCTTTTATTCTATTTTCCATTTTAAATTTCTTATTCTCTTGTCTACCTCATTTTGACCTGCCTACTGCTGTAAGGATGTGTGGATCAATACAGTTCTATCAAATTTAATCTAACCTCTGACCTGTACCGTTCCTTCCTGCAGCAGTAAGACATATACAACCAGCTCTGCTCCCTGTACAACTACACACACCCATTACGGACTGAATCTTTAGGTTTCACTCTCTGAACTGTGCAATATTCATTCTGTCTGTGCGATTCAATGGCTCATGTGCAATCGATTCACTGCACATATTCTCACACTACTTCTTTTTTTTTTAACTGTATAGTTTAGTTTTTATTCCATGTTTACACTTCCTTACAGTTAAGTATAATTATTACACTAAAGCATTGCTTATTACTTATTATTACTTACTGAGGCCTATCTTAGACTCTTGCTGTTTGCAAAAAAATTCCCCATTGTGGGACTAATAAAGGATTCTTATCTTATAAGGATAGGAGTACAGCACACACACAGACACACACACACACTCTCACACACACTCTCACACACACAGCTGCAGCAGTGACAGGCAGCAGGTCTCATGGGTGAAGGAGGCAGCAGCAGCAGCGCATCATCAGGACGCACTGTGTGGGTTGAGGCTGAGGTTGAGGACAGACTCTGAGACGCGGAGGAAGTTGGATCCCGTTCTCTCTCTACGAACAGCTCGCTCTCAGGGGCCGGACACCAGAGAGATGGCAGCTGCCTCCACGGACTCCGGCCAGGGCGCCACCAAGATCACTCCCGAGGTGCTGCAGGAGATGCTGAGCTACTACAACCTGAGCCGCCGGGAGTTCATCAACACCTACAACATCCAGCCGCTCGTCTACATCCCCGAGTTGCCGTACAGCGCCAAGACCACCTTCGTGATCATGTACGCGGTCATCTTCGTGCTGGCGCTGGCGGGGAACACGCTGGTCATCTACATAGTGGTGAAGAAACGTGCGATACACACGGCGACGGACATCTTCATCTGCTCCCTGGCGGTCAGCGACCTGCTCATCACTTTCTTCTGCGTGCCTTTCACCCTGCTGCAGAACATCTCCTCGGAGTGGTTCGGAGGTGAGAACTAAACCTCTAAACTTCCTCGTCTCTCACCTTTTTAAGAGCCCTGATCTGTTTGGGTAAAAAATAAAACAACTGCAACAAATCCAACCTCTGTCCTCCCGTGCGCTCTTGGACACTTTCAGCTCCATGCGCACTGAAGGAACGTAGAAATGTAGCCTGGTTTTTTGCATGATTTGATAAATGCATGGTTTTAATAGGCTGAGACATATTGTCATTTTTTGCATGCACTTGGCTTGCTGTGAAACCCCAATTTCCCTCATTGGGATTAATAAGATTCTTATCTTGATAATAATGTTGCAAAGAAAATAATAAACAAGAAGTCTGTCATCTATTGATAAGCAATGCATAATATTAATTGTGATCTGATCTAGTAGCAGAACAATGAATGAAATCCAGCAGCAGCTAAAGCAGTATCATTTATCCATATTTCTAATATTCATCGTTCACCACACTGTTCCCAGTGTCTACAACACACAAGTGTGGTTGACATTCAGCGTATCACAGCAATAGAAGGCAGGCGAGAAGCATGTGCTGCCATTAAATAGTAATTAGTTCCAGGTGAATCTGGGTGGACTGTCAGCTCTGTGCTTTGTTAGCTGTGACATGTGTCAAACTTCCTCTCCAGTCTTATCTTCAGTATAAATTGGTGTAATGCAGTTTCTCAGAATCTCATTCTTTCCTCTGTTTTCTTTTCCTGCAGGGGTTCTGGTTTGCAAGACAGTTCCTTTTGTACAGACTACAGCCATAGTCACGGGCATCCTCACAATGACCTGCATTGCCATCGAGAGATACCAGGGCATTGTCTTCCCCCTGAAAATGAGGAGGCAGTACTCATCCAAACGAGCATACAAGATGCTAGGTATTCAACATTTGCAAGAGTGGCTAAATATAGAATTATATGTGTTTGTGTATTCAAAGAAGTCTCTGATCTGTGAACAGGTTGCTATGAGTTGGAACAATGATGCAATGGAAAATGTTTGTCCTGGGGCAAAATGGTCACTGTGAGTGGTTGATTACTATATACAAATCTCTCTCACAATCATTCACACAAACAGTGTCATTGGACATGTGTAAACTCAGACTGGGAAAAAGAAACTTGTATGTAGAGCTGGACGGGATGGAAGCACACTCAGTTTGGCTGGATTCAGTTGGCAGTGTGCAGCGATAGAGAATGATAGAGATACAGAGAGGAGCAGTAAATTACTGACAGAGCCGGCAGTTAGATCCCAGTCTTCCCCATCTGCATGCCAAATTGCCCTTCATAGGAAAAATAAGTGCAGCTGATAGATAGTGGTCATCGAGACTAGAAAAGCGCTATATAAATACAAACCTTTTATAAAGGGTTGATCACTATGTCCATAATCACTATTTGCAGTTTCCACTGTATTGGGTTTGCAGTGAAAGTAATCTATAGTGGCTCCATTATGTCCCTGTCTGCTGCTTTATTGCTGTAGAGCAGTAGATCAGGGTTTGAATCCTGGTCAGGGTAAACATCCATTTAATGAGATTTCCCTAATGAAAAATATAAATAGATATAATCATATCGGCAAGAACTGAGAATGCTGAGTTGTTGCATTGAACCAATGCTCCTTCGAACAGAGCAGGGAGATTTAGAGAAATAGCAGAACCCAGGGACTGAAAGCAGAACAGATGTGTGTATGCTGTTTGTGTAAATCAGTCAATATGACCTGTACTGTTTAAACTGTATTTATTTGAATTATATGTCTCTGTCCATCCTGCAGGGCTCGTATGGATTGCTTCAGTGATAGTGGGCTCACCGATGCTGTTTGTGCAGCAGCTAGAGGTGAGTGATATCAACCCAAAACAAAAATCCTCTCAGTAACAGCAGTCATGGACTGACAGCGTTTCTTCTCGCTTCTTCCAGGTGAAGTACGACTTCTTGTACGATCATTACCACGTGTGCTGTCAGGAAAGTTGGCACTCTGTGACTCACAGGCAGACGTACACCACCTTCATCATGGTGGCTCTGTTCCTGATCCCCTTGGCCGCCATGCTGTTCCTCTACACGCGCATTGGGATCGAGCTGTGGATCCGCAACAGGGTGGGCGACTCCTCAGTCCTCAACACCATGAACCACAGAGAGATCAGTAAAATCTCAAGGTGAGTTGGACAGCAGAGATGTCTCCCAGGGCGTTTAGAATGTCTCAAGCGGCTCATATCCAGGTGGCTTGTTTGTGCATTGAACGCAACTGGTAGTGGTCGTGGGTGGGAGGCCACACGTGAATCCGCGGGTGGGCGCAGATAAGAGTAAAAATAAGTTCAGTTCATAGTGAAACTGCAGCGGGTCCGATGACGTCACCTGAGTAGTCGGTGGTCCTTCATATGTGACACTGCTAAAAGAATGTGGACACATGTGGCCCAGAACACACGGATGTGAACTGGCTTCCCACCCACAACCTCTGCTGTTCAATGCAATGCACGACCGAGCCAACATGAATTTTATCTGCACTACCAAGAGATTTTGTGGGTTCAACACACAACTATGACAACTCAAAGGATGCTGTCAGAATAAAAGCCTCACAAAGAGCTTTTGAGTTTGCTTTAATGGTATATTTTATTGAAGCGACTTCATTGCAGCTCTTTTGAAAATTAATTTCAGCAATTATTAAGTTGCTAAATCCAATTATTTAAAAAAGGGCTTTTTCTGTTGAGGACGCTCAGAGGAGAAAATTGTTGTGGGATTTAGAAATGCAGCACATTGTTAAGGGCTGCGCCACATTAGGTAAAACCAGGGGGAAAGTGGCTCCAGACAGAAGAGTGCCATCATGTCTGCATAGGAAAAAAGACTCAGATCTTAATCTCTTGTTTTTACCAGGAAAAAGAAAAGAGCCGTCAAAATGATGATCACCATCGTCCTGTTGTTCACAATTTGCTGGGCACCATTCCACACAGTCCACATGCTGTTTGAGTACTGTAAGTATTACCAGAGTCCTTATCGATTATACTGCAACACTATGCAACGTTTTTTACTTTTAAATAGCCGCGTTGAAATGAGTCTGATGCTTCGTAGATTTTGAATAGTGAAAAAGATGCTGCTTTCAATCCAACTCTGAACGTCTGCTCTTGCTTGTGTAACTTTAGTGGATGGGTAATATCCACTGTTCAGTTGTGTTTCCGCCGATTGATGAAAAGCTTTGTGTGGTTGCAAAGAGCTCTGTCGCTTTGTAAAAGTCACATCGTGTTTTAATGTGAAATTTCTGCCATTGCCTTCAAAAGTCTCATTGGGATCCATCACTATGACCTTCTGTCTGTGTTCAATGATTCAGATGACCTGGAGAAGAAATACGACGGCGTCACAATCAACATGATCATCGCTGTTGTTCAGGCCATCGGGTTCTTCAACAGCTTCAACAATCCAATCGTGTACGCCTTCATGAATGAGAACTTCAAGAAGAGCTGCGTCTCCACCCTCTCCCACTGCGTCAGGAAGCCCAACCAGAAGGGCGGTGCCGTGGTGGCACCTAAACTGAGTGTGCAGTTCATCAAACCCCAAAGCAGAGACGCATTTATGGAATTGGAGGAAGGCAACAGCTCGAACCAGCACTCCAGGGAGAAAGGCCCCTCGAGTTCACTGCACAGAGACAGCTCCCTGGAACCGATAGGAGAAAAAATCTCCACCATCCAAACTGAGCTGCCTGCAAACAGCTCCTCCCAAATCAAATGAGGAGGACAAGGGTTCGGAAGCTCAAAGTGTTTAGCTGTTGAACTCCACTATCCTCTCTGCTGTCAGTCTCTGGCACATGACAGTCTCACCATTGTCATTCAAACACTCAAAATAATGCACCAGCTTGAAAGCACATCTCTGCAGAGATTGTTCTGTTATTACTCTGGTCAGGAAACACAGGAGCAAAGGAAATGAAGGAATTCTGAGAAGAGGTAGTTTCACTATGAAAGCGGCCCTGGCAGCGATGAGGAGCAGCGGTCACGCTACAATCTCAGAGGTATCTGTGCAAGAAATCATATCTCTTGAGGAGTTTCAAATATCTGCAGGATGCTCAGTCTCTCTCTCTCTCTCAGTGAACATTTAATAATGTGTCCAAGGAAACCCTGTTCATTGTTATTCCAAATCTGCAAAACATTTTCCGCCTCATGGAGCAAACTGTTTGGAAATTATAACAAAGAAGCACAGCCATGGTTTTAGCAGCTAAGGATGGATGAACCTCTAAATGTTTAACAACTAAATTTGCATCTGTTCAAATGGTAGACTTTGTTTATCCCTTTTCCACAAACACTCCGAGTGCTTTACACTATGAACCAGGTTCTAAGCACTTCTCTATCACTCATCATCCATCCTGCTCACAAACTGACAGCAAAGCCTGAGGACACATCAACATGCAGAGTGCAGGAGCTGGGGATCGAACCATTAACTGACCCATTAAGGGACAACCTGCTCTGCCCTCTTGACTCAAAGTTGAAGTCAGATATTCAGTATCACAGACATGGACAGGTGGGTCGGTGGTTGAACTACGTGCCAAACCATTACCTATGGTTAGGAGTTCTGGGTAGTGAGTTTGGACGACTACCTCCTTGATAAGCGGAAGACAATGGATGGATGAATGGAATCAGTTCAGGGTCAATCAGTACAAACTTTTATTTCAATGGTGACAAACTTTCTTTGACTATTACCGCTCCTGAGCTGGCCTTTTCCTAAAACTCAAATCTGATGATGAATTGCCTTGTACCTTGTGCTTAAGATTCTGTGGGCTGTGATGAATTAATGATTAATTTATGTAACGTGTTATATCAGCAGGTGGCCTCGTGAGTACTGCCCTTGTGCAGTTTTTTAAATGGTTCATGTTTTAAGCGATTATTCTTCAGCCTTTTCGAGACCAAACTCGACATGAAAAAGCTTGATAGTGGCTGTTATGGCGTTACAATAAAAATTAATTCCTATTTGCACCAAACTAGTGAACCTCATTCATTTATTAACCTGAGGATTTATAATACCAAATATAATTTATAGATCAGAACCTTTAAATGTGGCTTCCAGTGTCACATGTAAACACATACAGAGAGCAAAACCGGTTTTTGACTTCGAATGTGTTCATGGTTCTGTGGAATATTTTTGCATTGGTGTGGAACAATTTTGTGTTGCTGATGTCTTGATGCAGTTTAGTGAATATTATCGTTGATTTCGTCATAACTTTTGTAACATGCTCCTGTAATGTGTCCAGTGCAGATTGCAATGAATGTATAGTATTTTGGCTTCAGCTAAAGAAATCTATTAAAACTAAAATGTTATTTTCAGAACAGGGTTGCATCCAAATGGGGCTTTTTAAAAGTTACAGATTTTTCCACTCAATTTTGAATGAGTGATACAAATGATGACTTGCTTTTTCGTTCTCTGACAAATGTTATTTTTCTTTTTTATGTATTTTTTTAGACAGTTAACAGTAACTCTTACTATTGTATGAATTATTCACAGTTTGTGCAAAACTGTTCAACAGATTGTTTTATTGTTTAATAAAAAACATTAAAAATCCATCTGGCTGAAAGTCATTGTTTTTCAAGGAACTTTGGGGCCCAGGTAAAGTAACAAAGTGCATACGTGTATACACATATTTTTTAGCAGAGTGGTGACATTTAAGAGCAAACCTCCACCACCATCCCAGACATCATCCAAGGCCTCTTGAGTAAGTTTCCGTCCGGTGTTGTTTCAGTCTCCTGTACATAGTCGGTCATAGAATTTAAGGGAGTTGTCCCGAAACTGACGGGCTAATGTAATCAGCCGTTCTCTGGGGCCTGACGCAATTGGCTGCTTTGCCAACCTTGTTGTAACGCCCGTGGTCTGGCTGGTACACTGGCTGTACGACATGAGGCATTTTAGGCAACAGATATCTGCGGTTTGGCAAAACTGCGAAGGCACAATTCCGGTTACTCGGGAGGTAATTTACCAAAAAATTGCCACCAAAAATATGTCGTGGGGCAAGAGCTCTGGCCTTTTTCTTTGAGGTTATGAAACATAGGAATTAGCAAGTGCTAAGGGTCAAAATAAAATACTCCCTGACGGCTTTAAAAGTGTCTTTTAAAGTTAATAACTTCAAAAAATGATTCTTCCTTGACTCTCTTGGTCATTAATTTATTACATTATATACATTTTAATATGAATAAGCTTCAGACAGACAATTTCAACTTCTTGTTAATCTGAAACAAATGAAACAAGATTTGCAGAGGGAACAGTTGAAATCAAAGTGCCTCACCAGAGGAGATCAGCTCTGCTCTGTGATAAAGAGATCATCTGTCTGCTGCACAAATTACTGAGTTATGTTATACGCACAAGACGTTGCCAAAACTCAACATTCAGGCAGTGTTCAATGCACTGACATTGATATGAAGTACCATCTTTATAACAGAGGAGACACAGTTCAAACAAGTACAAAAAGGCTGAAATGCAGCGAGGACAAAGTGTTCAAAGCATCTAAAGGTTTCTGCTTTTCTCCTCTGACCAGATTTAAACCGAAACCATCTGTGGATGAAAGAAACATGTCACACAAAAAAGAAGACACAAACCTATTTTCTGTAGATCCCTCAGAAAGAAAACTGTCTGACACTTTGGCAGGCACTTCTGTACTCGATGAAGATAATCTTATAATAATCCGTCTTCAGACTTTGGGAAAAAAAAAAAGAACATTTCTAATATCGCTGCCGTTGCCTCGATGCTATGTGATGAGAGGTATATGAAAGTCTGCGCTGTCAAACAGGAGAGGCCTTTTGACTGGAGACGGTTCTTTGTCCGCCTTGTGCAGGAGTTTAAATAATCCTGTTCCGATGTTCATCGGGATGCCCATGATGATGCACTCGGACACACCTGAATCAGGAAGACAGGAAGTGTTAAGTCCTAATATACAGAGTATACTGGTCAATCTCATTAAAAAGATGAAGCATGAGTTTACCGCAAACAGAGTCTTTTTGTCCAAAGTAGGCGGCGTCAAATAGATGATCGGCTGTTTTCTCGAAGGAGGCCAACATGAGCACACTCTCCTTCATTTTGGCTAAACCGAACCTGGTGATTCCCAGAATCTCCCCCTTTATAGAGAGAAGATGGTGTTAGGTGAAACACGACACTAAATACACACACACAAACACACACACAAACACACACACAAAATCAAACCTTATAGGACATGAGATCCGCGAGGAGCATGACATGACGCCGGTCAATGCTCATTCCATGGTTCACCATCGTGTACTGAATCTCATTGATGATTGTGGATCTCGCAGCTTCAATACCTAAGGTCTTCTCAACCTGGAAAAAAACAGAAAAGTTTGTTTACTCCACAGTCAATGATTAAACTAATCAAAAACCATCTGCTCACAGAACAAGAGATCTTTTTTAAGTTTTTCTATAATTCAGATTTTCACAAAAGTTGCAAGACTTTTAAAAGAGACATGATGCTTTTTTCAGTGTTCCCCTTTCCTCTTGTGTTTTATCACTTTGTGTGGATGTTAACGATCTGAAAAAGTTCAAAGAAAAAAGGAGTTCAAAGAAAACGCTGCTCCTGGAGCTCCTGACAGTGACAAGTGTTTCTGAAAAGAGCAGCTGCACCATGAGGAAAGTTTCAAAATAATTTTTGTATAATTCAGTTTGAGACCCGTTTTACAGTCACGTCAGAAAAAGGACATAGGAAAAGGAATGAGGGACAAAAAAATTTAAATAAATTTAATGTATCAGGCTTTTTTTTCAGTACCTTAAGTATAAAGAATTCGGAAACTTGCCCATCTTACTCATTGGCTCAGGTGTCATGACCTTATCCAAGTCACAGCACCACTGGCATTAAGACTCCTTTGACTGATACCTCGTATGTGTTGTTTGAAGTGGTCCTGCTGCCATTCACACCATGTGTTGCCATGACAGCTCGGAGGTTGTCCCCCTCCACCAGCAGCTTGTACTTGTTCTTGCCGCTCTGTTCGTCTATGTGAATGACAGCTCGGCTGACTTCTGGTATTCCTTGAACCACCACCTTCCAGGTGAGAACAGATAACAGAGTCAAAGGTTAAAGGAGCCAAGATATTTAGCTTTTATCTACAAAATTTTAATTCTGTCAACATCAGCAATTTCTTGAGCCGTAGACATTGAGAACAAGTGCAGAGAGACTACGGATATTGGTTTGTATTCCTATGCATTTCATATTTTCTGAATTTCTTGGTTTTATTCTAAAAGCCCTTTTGAAATATTATGTAGGTATAAAATGGGCACTACAGGACAGAGTGGAATATAAAAAAGTGATATAATCCAATGTCAGTTGTCTATATAAGCCATTTTCTTTGTGCGTTTGGCTATAATTTCGGTTAAGTATCACACATTTCATACTCTCACCTTAGGAAGCTCCTCTTTTAGTGACTGCAGCACATAGTACATGGAGCTTTTGCTGTTCTCTCTTGGTGACACACACACCACCGCCTCCCCGTGCACAGCTATGTCTCCTGGTTTCACCCGCAGCTTCGACATGCAGATAGAATAACGCACTGTTTCTGCATTTACCTGAAAAACACAGGGAATCCAAGGTAAAGCCCTCATTGTTATTCGCACCATGCAACACTGAAGCACGACATCTTCAAAGTAACACTTTGTGATCTACAGACAATAAATGAGAGCGATGGAGCATAACGATCTAGCACAGACTTCAAGGCTTCTTCAGTGGCAGGTTATATCAACTCCAAAATCAAGGATGAGGGAAATGAATCAAGTCAATGTCCTAATGTGTTTTTTTTCAATCTCAAAAGGAAATGTCTTTTAATCTCACAGTTGAATGAGACTACTTACAGTAAAAGGATAACATTACTTTAAATTCCTTCATTTCCAAGATTTTTTCTCAGTTGCTTTAGAGGAAGTTTTAGAAAAAGCTTACTTGCTTATTAGAAAATGAGCTTATACCCACAAACAACAAAGTAGGAAATATGTCTCTTGAGCTTTGCCCTCTATATATGTTCAAATTTAGTTTTACAATAACATGAGATGAGTCATAAAGTCAGACCAAGTACTTATGTTACTCCTGAGTGATTTTAGCAGGACTTTGCTTTATTGCTGATAATTGAAACTTTTAGTTTCCAAGAAACATAACGTGCTCGTCCTAAATTTAAAAGTAAGATAGTGTTGTTTAATAGGATTACTGCCGTTTTTATAACTTGATTAGTTATGACCATTGTCCCCATTTGTAATAATAACATAGCACTCACAATGTTCATTGCAAAAAAAGCCACAGATGTCAAGCAGTTCTTTGGTAAATAAAATGTTACCACAATTATTGCAAAATTATGATGAAAACCACAAACTAAGATATTGTAACAAACCAGTATTAGTAAAACAGACTGAATGAATCTACGTGAGAATAGAACACATTGTGAAGTGAGTGAGTTGTGATACCTCCAGTCGCAGCAGTCTTATTCTCTCCAGCGACAATTTAACCAGGATGAAACAGTCATCAGATAGAAAAACCTCTTCGATGTACTCAGAGATCTGGAGAAGATAATGAGAGACTCTGGCTTTATGACCGATCTGAGCTTCAATTCATGCAATCCAATGCTTCAATATTAAGGCACTGAATTATTGGCGTTTACAACACTTAAAATGCAGGTTGGAATACCTCTCCCAGAAGAGTCTTCTCAATCCTCCCCTTCACCAGCCGGGCAAAGTCAGCGTCATCTTCCACATCCAAATGAGCTGTGATTATAGGAGTGCTGAGAGGAGAGTACAGGACATTCAGCTGTTTATTCAAAACAAATCAGGGACGTATTCATGAATGTGACACAACTAGAATTACTGCGGAGGCTGTTTACTCCCAGCAATCAGGCATGTTACAATTTACATCTATATTTGTCCAGACTCTGAAGGAATTCAATAAAAACGTATAAG